AGGAAATATCAGCTAGATCTTCCCTTCTAAAATAGAATGGCCATGAGCACTCTGCCTACAGAAAAACTTACTTGCTTGGAAGTGGCTCACATTAAACCATGCCAGGTCATGTGAACAACATGACACTATGGACAATTGAGTACTGTTACCTGGGGATGTTCCCTCGCACTTGTGTAGTTAACTAGTACAGGTATAGATAGAAGGGCCACCTGGGGCACCTCAGATTCCCAGTGGAAGGTTCTTTCTGTTATTCTCAATGAACTTTTCTTGACAATGTTTCTTGTTAAGAGAGTAAAATAAAATGAAGTTTCATGACATTTTGAATATAAGTCTCAACATTAAGCGGAGAATATAGTTTCCATTTTTATTGAAAGATTTTAACATGTGAAAAAATACCAGTATATTCCCTATTAGATTAATAGACAAATTGAAGATTTCAAATATTTGGAAATCTTCATGAATCACAGATGTTAATGAGAGATGCAATAGTCTTTCAGTGTAGGCATCAAGTTAAAATATTTTAACAAAGTTAGAAGTTTCAGTAGCAACATCCTTTTCCATGTCAGATGAATTACTACATTCTTGATTATATAAAATACTGCGTTATTATTATGTATTTTCTTTACTAAGCAATACAAGGAAATAAGAAAAAACAGGAAGTTCCAAGAGATTTTTCAGAAAGGAAAAGAAACTAGTAAGGTTCATTTTCTGCTTCTTCCCCATGTGGGTTAGCTGGGAAAACTGCGCAAATTAACAACAGAAAAATAGACTTCATGTTGTCTTTGAAATCTTTACCAGAAATATATCAGATGGTTTGCTGTAAATGATATAATTATTAGTGATATCATTGAAATAATTGATAGCAATGATCTCAATGAAATAATTATCAATGATAACAACTGATGAACAATTAGTTTACTAACTCTCTGATACCGTTTTCTGTCCTTAATTTCATGGACTTCTGATAAGATGAGGAGTAACAGTTTTAAACTGCAAGAGGGGAAATTGAGATTTGCTATTAGGAAGAAATTCTATACTGTGAGGGTGTGAGGTACTGGAAGAGGTTATCCAGGGAAGTTGTGCGTGTCCCATCCTTGAAGTGTTCAAGGCCAGGCTGGATGGGGCTTTGAGCAACCTGGTCTGGTGGGAGGTGTCCCTGCCCATGGCAGGGGGTTGGAACTCAATGGTCTTTAAGGTCCCTTCCAACCCAAACCATTCTCTGATTCTATAAGCCATTAATACTCTATAGCACAATGTTCTACAGAACATTAACCATTATTTTTTAAAGAAAAAAATTAATAAGAAAGAAATTAAACAAGCATGATTTCATGCTATCATTGACTGAATGTGAGCTAATTCTGATCCTGAAGTGAGTAAATGAATTGATTAGTTACAGTCACATTTGAACTAGGATCCTGTATTAAAAATGTACATTCACAGTCTGCATATCTTGTGTTACCTAACTTTTAAGCTCTCACACTTCTGTAAAAATTACCACAGCAATAGACAAATAAATGCAGATAGACCTGCACATTTTTTCTGACTTGGAAGAATTTGTTTCTTCATGAGTTGGCATGAGGAGTGGGAGGTAAAAAGAGGGTAAGGAAGGAGGGGAGGGGGTGGGTTGGCAGGCACTCCTGGAAGTTTTAAATTAATCAAAGATGTTCTGAAACTGACAAGCTTCTGGAACAAGATAGCCTCTAATTGTTGAAGGAAACTGATACTAGATTTTAATACTAGATTCAAAAATAAACTGCAATAAACATTCTATGAAATTTATTTAAAACAGTTTGAAAACTATTTTATTATCACCAAACAAATACAAACTGAGAGAACTGTAGAACTTTTGTGTATACATGCACATATATATATCTACATATATATTTAGATGCCAATATATACATGTTGGCATATATACGTATCTAAACATAAAGTATAGCTATGTATATATACATGTATTTATGACATACATATGGCTAGTATGCATTAAAAGAGTGAACCAGCACTCATCCTAAGTATGATTAAGAATCCAAAGTAAAAGTAAGTGACAATTTAATGAGGAGAATTTTGCTAAAAGAAGAAAAATATGTTATTAATACTCTCCTGAAACTTGCTTCCTGAAAAACCTTGATGAACTATGCAACTGTTCAAACAGAAGTTGTCTTTAGAGAAAAGAATAGGTCAAAGAGTTTTATAATTGTCCATGTTTTCAAGGTCTGGGAAACAACCTCCAATTGTAAAAATTCATTTTGGGAAAAATTCTAAAAAGATTTGATTAAAGTAGAGCTGGTGAGCCCAAAGTAAAATATTTCTGTTTGGACAAATTTTTTGTGTCTTACAGCTACAGTGTCAAACAAGTTAAGAATAGTACTCACAGAAGAGTTTCTTTAGAACAGGAAGGATTTTAAATTGAAATTAATTTATGGGGAAAGTAGGAAATGGAAGTAAAAAAGTAAGCTTCGTTAGTCTGAGTTGTGAAACTATGGATAAAATAGGTCTTCAGTTTCCTGAAGATATTTCTTACAGGAAAGCACCCTCAAAAACCAAAACATTTAAAATTCAGGCTGAATATCTGAATATAAATAAACAAAACAATATATAATTCAAATCAGAGGGTCATAATCATTCAAAAGAGAAAAGAATTATAACCTGCATGTAGTGGTCCCGTGTAACAAAGCCTGATCCAGCGACATCAGCAGACTTGAAGCTATGTAGTGTTTTGAGAAGTTGTATCACAGATGGCACTGGCCAAGGCTGTGCTGCTGCTAGCAAGAATCTGCGCCAGTCAATAAGTTCTGAGTTCACTGTGAATGCAGATGCCAGATTTTGTAACTATGAAAACAAAATAATAAATGTTGTCAAATGTATAGGCATACACATACACTTTCTGTATAGTATGTATCCTTAGGTCTTTTTCCTGGTTATGATGGACAAGGTTCTGCAGTGAGATTTGAAAGACATGTAAAAGACATGCATCACTAAACAAAACAGGCTGTCACTGAGGCCAATTGGCATGTGCAGTTGATATCCCTCTAAATAAATACTCTGACTCCCTAAATAGGAGTCTATATCTAAATTGCCTAAGAGATAACTTAGTACATGCTAACCCCTGAAACATGCTCGATCTGGAAGAGCACTAAGAACAGATCTGACAATTCAGCAGAATGAGTACAAAATGTAATAAATGCTTGGGCCTGTGCCTTGGTCCTATTTGTCTACTCTTACAGTGGTCCACCACGAGGCTTATCTCTGCTCCAGCATTATTTTCAGTTACAAAAATAGTAGTAGTAGAAAAGCTGCTTTGCAGCTTACCATACGTATCTTTTTACCACTGAAGACATTGTACATGGATAGCAGAGAAAAGTACTGAACGCAAATAGGAGAATACATGTAAAAGCTCCTGACACAGCATTGTGAAGGCTGTATCTGATAGTTATTCTGTTATTACAATAAAAACAGTATTTTAAAGCACTAAAAGTTCTCAAAGAATAAAAAAACATGGGGTACATGCACATGTGGTCTATTAATAAACAGTTTGACTCATAGATTTTCCCACATCATTAATTTCCTGTGCTAAGATTAGATTTTTATATACTGATGATGACAGCTGTGCCTAGTTTTCACTTAACTCAGTGAAAATCCATCACTCAGAAACTCTGAAGTGGTTTAATCATGCAGTTCATCTGTGTGAAGAACATTTGAATAAAGCAGTTATCCTCATGTAAAATCCAAGTAAACTCTTAATGTGAATCATGGCTTGCTGTCAGAAATAATTATAAAAAATATGCTAAAACAAGTAACTTTCTCATCCCATAGGTTTACCAGCAACATCTGAAAGTAAAATTACTCACAGAATTCAGTGTTGGAAGATTTGGAAAGACTAAATAATAATTTTTGGTGTTCCTAAATCTGCAAAATCTTGGATAAATAAGTTTAAGGTCAGAGAGCTCCAGATTTTATTCTCCTGTTTTGCAAGGAAGAACCTAAACAGTCCTATTTTATCTCCTTTAAATGAATTTTCAATGGTGTCTAAGGAACTGATATAATTTGAAAATCGTAAATTTGAAATATACTGCTGAGAAAAGCATTTTATTTCTGGCACAGTGGCTTCCAGAATCTTTCTCAAGTGAAACAGAAGAATTTAAAGGAAAAACTGATAATGTCCTGTAAGAGTTATACTTTTGTCTTTATCATAGCAAGGACAATGCTTGCAACCTGGTCTAGAGGGAGGTGTCCCTGCCCGTGACAGGGGGGTTGGAACTCGATGATCTTTAAGGTTCCCTCCAACTCTAATAATTCTATAATTCTATGATTCTATGACAACGTTGCATCTTCTACAAAAAATGATAACTTCAGTTGAAATGAAAACAGGGGTTAACTTACATCTGGAAGTGTTAAGCTCATCCATGCATCAGGAAGGTAATTTGTTCCAAGATTCAAATTAATCAAGTCAAGAAAAATGTCAATAAATATTTTCTTTTGTATAAAACCTAATAAAAGAAAGTCAATATATATAAAAAATATATTTACCATTTTAAATAGACTTTTTTTGTTAAAGGAAATACAATTTTTTATTTTACTGGCCATATGGGAAAATTATTTATTTATTAGGTACTATTGATAGTGGTAAATTCTTTCAAGAAAAACATAACATTTTCTCATTTAAAATAAATCATGTGTGGCCTGTGTAACAGCAAAATGTCAAATATTCCAATACACTCTAATTATTTTGATACTTGTCTTGATCTGCATCATGATCACTAACTCATCCTCACACAGTCTACACTGGCAGTTGATGAGCAGTTCACAAATACCGATCACACATATGTTCTGTGTATTGAATACCTACCAACCTTTTATTTCGCTGTGCGTTATTTTATTAAATCATAAATATATCTCTGCTCTTGAATGCAAGTGTGTGTTATAGAATGGGAGGGAAAACAAACCATTGTGTGTTAAACTGTGAAACAAAATTGAATTGCTTAAAAAGCTTCTCAGAATTGGCGTGTCGGAGTTATAAATAGCTCCATCAATTTTATTTTAAAGAAAACACAAGGTAAAAATTAGTAAATGCAACAAAACCTCTTTGTTTTTAAAATAGGCATGGATTTGCTTATAAGCAAATAGAAACTTCAAGGTTCACGCACAGTCTTAAAATGCAAAATTATGTACATCAAAATTTAACAGTCTTTTTTTTAGAAATGGATTTTGCTGGCTCAGTGAGGATTCACTGCAAAAACTCTGCAGTAACAACAAAAAACATAAAATAAGTTTCAATATTTTGAGAAACAAAGCAGATTTGGTCAGGTTATGATCAATTCTGTAGTGTCAAAAGAGTAAATTTTCAGATTACCTTTGAAAGCAGACACAATTCATGAAATACCAGAAGGACTTACTTATATTTCTTCCTTTATACAGACAAACATTGTCATTTTGGAAAGGCATAGCTAACAAACTTTACTCTTTGAAGTGGAACAGTAAAGGAAAACTTGCTAAGTTTTATGAAGAAAGATTTAAGTGGTGGAAATATTAAGAATGTGTTTGAATACTTATTTCATAATTTCAGTATTAAAAAATAAGTTGCCAATTTTAATTAATAGTCTAGAATCTCTGTAGACTTGTTTTTTCCTCCAATTAGGAAAATGATGAGTAATGCCCTCAGCATCTCTTCACACAGCAGAGAAATTGTACACATATATATGTTTGGAGAGAAGCTGCATTTCCTTCCTAAAATGAATTTGAATTTTGTTTTTTTTTTTCTGCACAAAATTCTAAAATATCCTCATGTCACTTTTTGTGAGGCTAGATGACTTCAGAAGCACACCTAAAAAGTATTTGAGGGGCAAGGAAATCAAAGAACGCGAAACAAGAGATAATATCTGAAATGAAGTCTAAAACATTAATTGCAATTTTTAGAATTTTGATTTGATTGTAGACCATTCTGGAACATAGTTTTTGGGTAGATTTGACATTAGTAGATGTAAGCCTACTGCAAACATGAATTATTGAAAGACATTTAAGCACTGTCAGGTGATCTGCAGTGTGTACCCAGTTTTCTTCCTCTGTGGTAAATGTGAAGAAACAACCCTCTTTTTCACTCAGAACTAAGCTAAAGACAGGTAGACTTAATGCTTAGTGACACAATTTAGTAATAGTTTTTATCAGAGTTAGTTGATGGTTAGACTAGATGATCTTAAAGGTCCCTTCCAACCCAGACAATTCTATCTTTCTTTCAATTTAATTCAGAGGTTGCCAATACTTTAAAATCATGGAGAAATGCTATGAGAGGGCAGACACACAGACGGTGCTGAGAAAAGAATACTGGTGTGTAGAAATACATTTAATTAGAAAGGCTAACAAGCATTTTGGAAAAAGAATCAGAATTCAGAAAGATTTTGAAAAACTGGAGAGATGGTCAAGATCAGTAAGTAAATTTCACAGATTGAAGTTCTTTGAGGAAACACATTGTACAAATTAAGGCAGTTATTACATTGCTGTTGCAGTTATTCCATTCTGCTCTTGGACATGCAGGAGACACATTTTCCAACTTTTTCTAATCTCATCATAGTTAAAATCTTTCAATTTGAAAACTTGAAGGGAAAAACAGTATTACATGATTTAAGAGAAAATCCTTAGAATTAGCAATGCCACATACCTAATAATGTACCCTGTATAATATATATCCTGTTGCTTATTAGGTAAACTATAACTAAATATTTTTGTTATCTGATAAATCACAAATGAAGATATTTCAATGCTGGATCTTTTATAATCAACCAGATAACACACAGTACTGATCTCTTCTTCTGATGCCTATAGGTTAACTCTACTTGAGCGCACTAACATCCCATAATGAGGTGTGCATTCAAAACCTACTCTATTTCTGACACACTATCTACAGCTGTAAATAGCAAGAATATTTATGCAAGATACACAGAAAAGGACTATATATCTGTGTTTGTGTGTGATTTGTGTCTAGCATATCTTCTGCAATTACATGTTTTGCATTGAAAGTAGACAGTTGATCTTGATTTAAAAAAGGTTTGATTTAAAGGTGAATGACCTCACATTGATTTCTCCCATATTATTTCTAATTCATCTTCATCACTGCTGGGATCATTAGTGATTTCACTTTAGCTATTTTTTTAATATAAATCATTGCTTTTTTCTTGAAAGTAGAAATATATTCTGCTGGTATGCTTTACCTTAGTTGGAAATTATCAAATAGAAAGCTGCACTTAAAACATGTAAAATTATGCAATCATGAAATCAAATTCTTCTCTGAACAATTCTCATTCTCAGGTCCTAGACTAAAAATCATGATACAGCATTCTTACTGCAACCCTCACAGACATTTTTACAAAGAAAAAAAAAGTGGTTCAAGCTGTGAAGTATATTAGTCATATCCTGGTTGTAAAAATATTTGCTATGTGAAGACTGATTTGTGCAATTAATAATCAGCAATGGAAAATGGATCTGCTCTGCCTCTGTAGGACTGTCTTCTGAAGGACATGTCTGACAAAAATCTGTGACGGGTCATGTTAAACCTTAACCACAAGAGAATAAAAAGTAGCAACACATACAGATATGGAGAGAAGGCATGACCCAAAATTCATAGGCTACAGAGGTCAAGCAATCATTTGAGAGAAATGATGCATTGATTTTCCACACATTTATCAAAAGAAAATCAGGGTTCCCAGAATCAATGAAATTTCTTGAACTATTAAGGTTGATAGTACAATGATAGTTAACTCCAGTGGTTATAATGTATTATGACTCAGCTAAATGCAATAAACAATCACACAGAAATTATGAGTAACGCCCCCATCCACATGTCACCAAGGTGAAAATGTACTCCATTATTTTTGTTCATTGTCTTGAGATTTACAGAAGCCAGGTATGGAAGGGCAAATGTAAACGTCTACTGGAGATTAAGCAGTGAACATAAAGAAAACCCATATTTTAACATTATAATACATTACTTTAAAAAAAATACAAATTTTACACTTGTTAATCCTCCAAGATAGTGTGTTAAAGTGTCCATGTATGTTACATGAAGATTGTGAAATAAAAACTAACACTTTTCATCTAGTCACTTCCGCAGAGACTCTCCAAATCAAACTCAGAGGAATAATCTGGTCTTTCATTTGTCATCGTATCACATCCCTGTAGTCTTCTATTTCTTTGCCAAGTAGCATTCCTCAAATGAATAGCTTTCTGGGGGTCAAATTTTTTGATATCTGGAGAGTTCATCTGAATTATCATAAAATCCGTCACACTTTCAGGCCTTAGGTTAGAATGCAAGTGCATCATGGTGAGTTTCATTTGACTGAAGCCTCGCTCCGTTTCAGCTGAGCTTGCTGGCAGAGTTAGGATCAAATCTACCAATGTCAGGATGTTGGGATACTTCTTCGAATAGTCTGAGTTCACTGTATCCCATGTCAAGGTTTGGATGTTCTGAAATCTAAAAAGCATTATGAGAAATATAATTATAACTATCACTAAATGTATTTCCATAATCCTTTTGAGAAAATCAATAAAGAGACAGAAATGCAGTTATCTTATTACCTGTTATACAGCTCTAATTTCAACATGCTCCATTCAGTTTCTACTTCACCTATTTTCACACTAGCAGCTTCTAGTATGACTTCATAATGTTTAGTCAAGACAGATACTTCCTTTTCACCAAATTCTGTAACAAAGGCAAAACAAAAATATTATTATGCTTTTAAAAGATTTAGAACATGCACTTCAAATAGCCACTATCACAGTTCTATACCTTGTTTCATTTTGTCAGGCCATAGTTTAAAACTTCCAATAGTAGTTGCTCGCAAAACATCTTGACTTGCATCGCAAAAACAATCACGTAGCCTCTTCACCAAATTGCTTAGTACTTTGGTCCGTATTGCTGAAATATTTCCATTTCCAGCAAGCTGGTAACCATGAAAGTGCTGAATGGCCTCCACCAGGCGTTCCTTTGGACCACCTCTGAAAGATACAGAATACAAAAAGATATATAATACTCTTTTATTATATCCCAAGAGATCATGGTTCAGTTGTTAGAAATGCCAGACCTTGTTTGATACATGTGGAGTGTTTCCAGCGTCGACTGCACAGTTGCAAATATGTCTGCAATGGAGGAGTTGTGATCTAGAGTAACTCGTGACAGAATGTTGAGGACATTGATGACATCCAACAAGAAGTGAGAAAACTTGACTATCTCCATTCTCAGAAGGAGTTGTAGAAGGCCTTTGACTTTTTGCCAGTTCAAGGATCTTGAATCTCTTTCAATCTAGAAATCAATATAGAAAAAGAAAGCATCAGATATGTGGACCAAAATTAGACTTAATTTTTCCTGAAGTTACACCCAAATTTTAGAACATTTACCTTACTCAGATGTAGAACCATTGCAGGATAACCTTTAAGGAGAATTTGTAGAGCTGTTTGTAGACGAGGAAGCCACTGGGAGCCTCCGATGCGAGAAGGAATAGCTGGGCGTAACTTAAGGGCTTCATATGTGGCTTTGAGATTATTCTTATTTAGAGGTGAGTTGTGATAAAAGTAATACATATTTCTCAAGACATTCACTAAGATGTTGTATAGCTGAATATTTTTCAGTGCTCTTTTGTAAGCCAGCTTTAGGCGGTGAGCAAAACAATGCACAGACTGTACACAGGGCTGAATTTCCCTCAGAAGTTTAGCTACCCCACTGTTTCGCCCTACCATGACATCTGTCCCATCGCTTCCAAATCCAACTAATTTTTTTGACCAGTCCTGGCTTTCCAGACTGAGCTGAAGATTTATTTGTAATGTTTCCTCAATTGCATTTTTTACAGTTGAAGCATCAGTTTTGTGAATAGGTCGAACCCCAACAATCTGGCAATAGACTTTCCCTTTATTTGCAAAGCGTACGTAGACAACTGCAGCTGCTTTGAGCATACTGTCTGTGACTCCATCACTAATAACAGAGAAAAATTTGCATTTCTCCAGTTTCTCTTTCAAAGCTCTTCTCTCTACTTCAGCAATAAAATGTATAAACATTCTTGCTGACTTGTCATTTCTAAACACAGAACCAATATCCACTCCTTTCATATCATCCAGTTTACACATCCAGTCAAGGTCTGTAAAGGGACGACCAGATTTAGCAATAGCATGGCATGTTCTAAAAATATTTTCTACTCTACCCAATGTTATTGAGTTCATGCTCTTCAACATCTGCTCAGAAGAAGCTGTATCTGGTGAAGCAGTACTGGCAGCTTCCATGCAGGTAGCCCAGGCATGAGCTTCACTAGTCTGGTGTGTATTTATATATTCAAGTTTGAAGTCATCAGTGCCAGAACAAAAATTATGAATGTTCTCCCCCAAATCCACGTTGTGCTTACGACATGGTGCACAAAACATTATTCCCCTTTCATCATCATATTTTAACCAGGAGTATTTTGTTAACCATATTTTTGGAAACTGGCGATTCTTCTTTGTTCTCTGATGTTCCAAATCTTTCTTCTCTTTCCCTCTGTCACCAACTTCTCTCTTGCTAGAAGAATTACTCTTGCTTTTAAATTGCTTCAGTGCTCTTATGGCTATAATTTAAAAAGAAACAACTAAATATAAAATACCTTTTTTTACATAAATTACCAAATGTGCTTTTTTTCTTTTTTTCATTCACATTTATTTTGTTAATTTGGGACTAGACTGTGACTTGAAAGAGCCATAGAAAAGAACAAGGAAAACTGAGATCTACTCTTAAATTACTTGGATGCTACCCAGGACCCTTGTAAAAAGTGGTCAGCTTTGACTCCAATTTCCTTTTGACTGCCAGAATTTTTTCAGAATATGCAACCAGTAAAGTGCAGCAGCATCAATATCATTTTTGAAATAGAGAAAAACAGAGTTAGGGATTGGAATTCAGATAGATATAATGTCTCCAGAAAATACTACTGAAGCCACAAACCTATTATGATCCCCCTACACCTGATATTAACAGAAAAGTTAACTTGGAGCAAGTCCATAGATATATAATCAGATACCTGTTACAGAATGCATAACTTGTTTACCAGCATGTGTAGCTGACTTGATCTTCTTAAAATATATTTATCTGCAGAATGATTCTATTACTGCTTTGAGAAAGAGGAACAGTATAAGCTTCACATTTTTTTCTCAAAACAGAAACATTCTTAAAACACTGAGATTCTTGTCGATATTATTTTCCCAAATTGTTCTCAAGATGGTAATTAATTTTGTGGGAGCAAATGCCATAAGCTGACATTTTTGAAAATTCTATCACTAGAGCTTATGAATCTCCTACTTTTGGCAAGTAATTTAATGATTCTCTTAGTACACTGTTAGCTTAAGGTCATGACTTTGAAAAGAAAGCAGTCAAGTAATGAAGATAAATTCCATGCAGAACTGGGGCAATGAAACTAGAAAGCTATTCACTGGGAAACAGCAGAAATAAAGCATTGAGGAAATGACCTAAGAACAATCTGACTCCTCATCCTTATTGTGATGTGTGCGTCAACAGGAAAAAATAATGATTACATTAAGTTAATTATAGAAAGAAATGCCATTTCTGGTGCTTTAAAAGATCTTAAGAAAAAGAGTTCTTGTACCCCACTCTTTTCTATTTTACAAGAAAGGGCAAATGTTCATCTATGCATTGAACAATTTTGAGAACTGTTTCTTCCTATTCTCATAAAATTGACAGTTTGTCTGCTCCATTCTCTTCTGAGCATCCTGGAAGGCCATAATATTAAAAATTGTTAGGAACATGCAGTTTAAATACATTTCCACTATGAACAATCCTTTTAAAGAACTTTACATCTGAGGTAGCAGTTGTGGTCCACATGGACAGCAAAACCAACTAGACCATAGAAGCTTCTTCTACGTGCCCAACTACCATGCCCAGGACTAAAAAGAGAGGAAGAGAAGCATTTTTAACATACTGGAAAGATTAAAAACCTTCCCTTACATTAGGCAGCCACAAAACCACAAGAAAAGGTTAAAAAGAGATGGGAGGAAGCGTTAATGGATCTGCAATTGCAGAAGTCAGAGGGTGGAAGGGACAAAATAGTTGTAACATCTCTACAGTGCCTACTGCTGCTTAAGGTGTATGGGCACCTGTACAAATTTGCTGTTGATTAGAAAAATGGGAATCAAGAGTAGTTTCTGTGAGCCACTGCCAGTGATAAGATTCCTTGCAAGATAGACCTGCAATGTTACCAACATTATCCAAGTTTTTAATTTTTTTTATTTCAAAACACAGGGGTTAAAACTCTTAGAAAAATATATTTGGGACATCATGTGTTTATAAATGATCTGTTGTATGTTATATACATGTAATATGTATATTATGTAATATAAGACAGGTTATTCTACAGTGTGTAAGAACAGTAAAAATGTAATTAAGAGGCATAAATCATCAGATCAGCTCTATAATCCATCTAAACTATGATTATACTCATCACAAATTATCCCTCTGGGATATTCTTATCATGCTTCCCTAAGGAAACAAAGCTTTTGCAGTTTTTGCAGTTGGGTTGCCTATATATCTCCACATCTGTCTGTCAGTTCTCCCTCACAGATAATTTCAGAATGGCCAATTTGAACCTAGTTTGTCAGTACTGTGGAGTTATGAAGGTCCTATAAATTTCTTGCAGATCAGTATCCAGGTGCAGGAGAAAGATCTTCATAACACTCCCACTGAGGAAAAAGCAGGGAGATGACCAGCTCCTATCCATTCTGTGGCCAAGAGGTGTAAATCAGCCTAAACTCAGTTCCAGACCACACACAGTGCGTCCTGGCCATAGCTGTTCAAGCAAAACATGTAGGTAAAATGACATGAAAGAAAGCCAACAATTGTTGGGGTTTATTTTTTGGTTTGGTTTGGTTTGGTTTTTTTGTTGTTTGTTGTTAGGTTTTTTTGGGTTTGGTTTGATTTTTTTGTTTGGTTTTTTTTTTTTTTTAAATGAGGCTAACAGACATGGAAAGGAACAGGAAATGGACTAGTGAGAGGAAACTGGGAACATGGGAAAGGCAGGATTTGTTGCAGTGGTATAAAGAAAGAGCATAGAATACAAAAGGAAGCCAGCCTGTACTACTTATGAAGCAACATCTTTTTCACATACAAATATATCATCAATGAAATCAAAAGAAAAACTAATGCAGAAAAAGCTACACAAGGTAGAATTTTTTTTCATTAAAACCTATTTTTAAAGTATCATTCACTGATATACAAGGTGGCATTGACAAGCATTTATATGTGTTTCAAAAAGCAGTGCAGAAACATAATAAATACATGCAAAAAGTTAAATAATGAAGAAATTAAGATTATGACCACAAGTGAAACTGAAAACAAAAAAATAAACATTCAAAAAGGAGGATTAAGAATGACAGCACCATAAGTGTACACTAGATGTATACCCTGTGAACCAAGACTGTGATATTTTAATGGCACATAAGAAATAAAGATCAATAGCCATGGCCGTGCCTCAGTTATAAGGCACAGATATACAAAAGAGACTATTTCTTAATGATACACCAGTCAGCACAATATTTTCATACAGGCACCGTATGAAAATATTTCCCTAAGCTGAGGAACTGTAGTAAAGATTCAGATTATAAATTTACACAAAATATGAAGAGATTGTAAACCTACACTAGAAATGAGAATTATGTTAGCATTTTATTCCTTTTTCATCAAGTTTTACCAGAACATTTAAAGAGCTTTCAATTTCCCGCCATTTGCACTGAGAAAAATGTTTCCATTGCAATTTCTGACTAGAAGTTCAGACAAAGATCTATGCAATGCTATAAGGGATGAATCAGTGAAATAAACCCTGAGGTTGAATTATATTAATCTAACTTTAGTAGTCTAAAATTTAATAATATGGGATACTTCTGTCCTTAGATGAAAAAGACAGGAGTCTCAATAGTATGATTAATTCCCCCAAGATATTGAGATACTCATCACCCCCTGCAGATTATTTTTACTGTAAATTTACTTCATTCATTCACTAATTATTACTGATTCTGCTGTGCTATATGTCCAATCTTCCCTCATTAGCAAGAATTGAGATTTTAAATTTAGAATCACACGAAGTAAGATATGCCTGCAAAATGCAATGAAGGGAGAGTTCCTCTGTCATGCTGATTGAAATTTTAGTACTTGTATATATATCTTCAAATATATATATACCAACATGTTAAATATGTTTCATAAAAGTAGCTGGATACATTGATTTTAAATACCATAGGCAAACAGTCACAGAATTCTGAAATTAAATAACATACACGATTTAGTAAGAGACATAAAAGAAGGTATAAGTAAGGCAGTAGAATTACCAAATTTTTCATTATCTGTAGGGAGGGGCGTTGTATCTATTCTGGATCTCTGATTAAGGGGTTTATATCCCAAAAGTCTAGGCATTATCTATCTATATTATTTGTCTAGTAAAATTTACTTCCTCTGTGTTCAAACTTAACCTTGGTTATCTTCAAGTTTGAAAGAAGCACTTAGAGAAAAAATATAGCCTTAGAAAAGATAAGTTAGAGATGACAAACTTATTCCTATTCACACATATGGACATCATTCACTATTCATATCAAAGTCAGGATTACTATTGTAAATTCTTGAGTTATTTCTTCAAATGTGCTTGGGAAGAGAAAGCATAATCTATAGCCATTATTCAGTGTCAGCATGTAATTCTGAGTTTTTCACTCAACAAAATATTCTATTAAAAAGGTAAAATTTCAGCTGAACTAGGTGCACACTTTCATATGCCTATCTGTTCCAAATCTACATTCCAGATGTATTAAATTAACAATTGAATTAAATTGAATTAAAAATAGTCATGTTCATAAGAAGAATATAGCGCAAAAGGGATTCAAAGAGGATGAGATCTAATAGAGGGTTAGTATTATTTTCTTGGTAAGAACAGAATACATCCAAAGAGACTGTAGAAGAGAAAAGAAAAAAAGTGAGTGTTAGTAGCTCCATTTAAGACCTGCCACAGTTATTTCTATAAAAAAGCAGCACAGTCTCAAGGCAATGTACTGAAGCACTGTTAACAAATTGATCAAAGGAGTTAATGAAACTAAAAAATACTGCAGAGCCACATTGAGTTTGGGCAATGACACTTGGAATAATAAAAAAATAATAATTTAAGTATTTCCTTATCAAATGAAAGACTGTGTCAGCAGGTAGGAAGGTCCAGCATAGGCTGTTTTTTGTCCATCGCTGCTTTGAATGGTGAGTAATGTGCTTCCATGGAGAACCAAGTGTGCAGGTTAGAACAAAGTTGTCTGTGATGAATCGGCAGTTCTTTAAATACTTTAAATTCCTAGGAAACACAAAACTGTTTACAATGTTTATAAGATTTCTTTTGCAAATACCAAAAAAAATTTAAGTATATTGGCACTCCCAGCTTTTGCTTTCATTTCAACAATTTGTTAAACATATCTTGAAAAGACATCCTTCTGACATTTACCAAATAGCCTGTGAGAAAATGTTTACATGTTTATTCCTTCCAACACAGTAATTTCTCCTTTGTTACTCTTTGTTTTGCCTGGATTTCTAGGTAAAATTCTTCCTCATGTAATCTCCACAATGCTATAGAAAATAAGACTAATATTCCATTTTCAGAACACCATCAGGAATTTTGCTATTTACATAGTACAGAAGATTGGTAGATTTATTCTCTTTAGACTTGCCCTGTTGTCTATGCCTCCTATGCTTGTTTAGATGGTTTCCATTATGAATGCTCAGAGGACTGCCCAGGCAAGTAAGAATTAGAAGACTAAGATGTTTGACAGAAAATCTAGATCCTTTTAGAGGTTCTCCAAGACAGGGATTAGTTTGTTAATTTTTTGTGTCTTCTTTAGAGCTGCGGTCCATCATTTTCACTGCCAGCATGCTGGGTGCTTTAGCGTTTTTCCCTTTTTTGCTCAGTAAGAGCCTAACTATGAAGGAGGTACGTATTTTCTGTTGAGTGTTCTATTGAACAAAGGGAGACAGAAGGATGTGAAATTTTCCTGAGGTTTTTGGAGAGGAAGGATGTAACTCTTTCTCTGGTGTCTCTATAATGAAGGGGAGTGGTTGCCTTAGGAAATCTGGGATGTGATTTATGCAGTCTTAAAGTGTGTGAGAGAATGGGAAGAAGTATTTTAATCGTGACTTGCACAGCTTGTGCTTCCCATTCTAATTCAGCTATCAAACTACATCTTCACTTAGTAGCCACAAGACAGTAGAAGAATACTGTTGCATGTGCTTTGCGACCTTATTTTAAACAATAATTCCTTACTGTTGTCCCAGAGAACAAGGAACAGCATTCTTAATAGTCTGGTGACTATGAAGTCAATATATTTACCTTTTTGGATATTTATGCAAGTCTTCTTGGGTCATTGTAGTGAACATATTTTCACCAAAAGGACAATATTGTAGAAAGATAAATTTTTCATTTGTCTTCTTGCTAATTGTTACTAATATAAAAGGAAAATAGTTGTTCCATGTTAAACATGCCAAGAATATCCAAGTTTGTGTTAAAGAAAATTTTTTTTAGTTTATCTTAATGAATACATGATTTAAAAACAAAAGAAAACCTTTTAAGTGGAATGACCAGCCATACTGGTGTCTGTGTTTCACCTCCATGGCAATACCTGATAATTACAAATGCACAGATTTCTAGTTTCACATGGCATTATATATGTAATACTATCTGCTAAACTAATCTCTGTGGAAGAGTTTGGAATGCTTACACATATCCCCATGCTTGTACACTATAGATAAGATGATATGCATCTCTAAAGGAAAACTGTAAACATCTTTCTGCCTAAACTGGGTTCATACTCAAAAGGCAATTGGAATTTCTACATAAATATACATGAAAAGCATTTCTGAATAAAAAATTAAATGCAACTTCATTGGACTTTTGTGGTCTTACTACATTAGAAGAGTTGGATCCAAAATTCTAAGTATATGTTTACACGTTGTATTTCATTATCTTAGTGGCAATCATTAAACTTATAATTATAATATGGAACACTGGTAGTAATGAAACCCTCTGCAAATATGTGCTTACCAACTTTCCATCTCAGTTTAAAACTGCCTTCCCTAAATGATTGTGCAACATTTATATGTAGGAAGTTATGTAGGAAAGTCTTTTCAAGTACCCTAAGCCTAAGGTTCCCATAATTTGTGGGTAGGCACACAGTAAGTGCATGTGCAAAGGAAAAAAACAAAACATATATGAGTTAACATTTGCAAATCACCCAAAACCACAATGGCATACATTGGCTTGAAGAATATCATCATAGAATCATATTGGGTTGGAAGGGACCTCTGGAGATCATTTAGTCAAAACCCCCCGCCAAAGCCGGTCTACCCAGAACATGTTGTTCAGGTACTTGTCCAGGTAGGTTTTGACTATCTCCAGAGAAGGAGATTCCACCAGCTCTCTGGGCAGTCTGTTCCAGTGCTCTATCACTATCACAGAAAAGAACTTCCTCCTCACATTTAGGTGGAACTTATTACACTCAAGTTTGTGCTCATTTCCTCTTGTCCTGTCACTGGGCACCACTGCAAAAAGACCAGCCCTGTCCTCCTGACACCCTCCCTTTAAGTATTTGTATGCATTCATTAGATCTCCCCTAAGCCTTCTATTCTCAAGACCAAAAAGACCCAAGTCCCTCACCTTGTCCTCACTGGAGAGATGCTCCAGGCCCTTAATCATCTTTGTGGCACTTTGCTGTACCCTCTACAGCAGTTCCCTGTCCTTCTTGAACAGGGGAGCCCAGAACTGGACACAGTACTCCAGATGGGGCCTCACCAGGGCAGAGTAGAGGGGCAGGATGGCCTCCCTCGACCTGCTGGCCGCACTCTTCTTGATGCACCCCAGGATGCCATTTGCCTTCTTGGCCCAAGGGCCCATTGCTGGCTCATGGTCATCCTATTGTCCACCAGAACTCCCAGGTCTTTTTCCTCAGAGCTGCTCTCCAGCAGGTCAGCCTCCAACCTGTACTGGTGCAGGGGGTTATTTCTCCCCAGGCGGATGGTAATGGTTGATGGTTATACTACAGAATAATTTCTTGAAAATATTGATTTATTTTAAAATGTGTTTTAAAATAGTATAGTTTCAGTGTTGACTATGCTATGAATTTGGAAACAAGTTAAAGACTTGCATCTTTAAGCAAAGCAAGCATGACAAGTAGCACTCTTGAAAACATATAACAGAGACACTGTCTGTGTACAGAGCCCATAGAAAAGACATTGAAAACTTTCAAGTGGTCTGGTGTTTCACATTTTCAATATTCTACACTATGACTTTACTTTTATATGTAGCAGGATCTTTAATTGTAGTATGATCTTTAACAATATAGGTAATTAATGTTTAGTAGCTCCCAGCAGTTACTTTAAATTATAAGTAGGTAACTAACAGCTCTTTAGGAGTGAAAGGGAAAAACATGTTCTTACCTTTAGGTGCCACCTGTAGAAACTGCTTATGAAGTGTAGTAAGTTGTGAAATAGTTAGAGTACCACTTTCAGAAGTCTCTATTTTTGGAACACGTGGTGGAGTAACAGGGTCAGGAATCACTTTTACATCACTGCTGATGAAGAAATCTGTTTCTTCTAAGGTAATTTCATATTGGATTTTGCTAGAACTCTCAATATGATGTCGTGCAACCTCAATCAGCTTTTCAATACTGTTAAGTGTAAATGCAGAAAACAATGAGTATGTTTAATAGACAATGTTAATAGCTTAGGTTCAAATTTTAATGTGTTTGTACTCTGACAGCTTTCCTGAAGGAAGAATTACAAATCCTCTCCGTGAATTCTGTACTCAGCAAAATCATTATGAAGCGTACTTCTTCTCTGGCAGCAAGAAATCTTTTGACTGTGGTAAGAAACTTATATCAAAGCAGATCTAAGCCACACAAAGAGATCTAATGGAAAAATATGAAAGAATGATACTTTGTTTCATAAAGTTTGTAGTGGTGGACCATATATGTTCCATCTGTTATTATCCTTTAGCCCATTTCAATGGCTTGTCTTCTGCTGTGCCCATAAATCCCTGATGTACAAAGCACTTTCTAGAGTAGCATTGTGGTGGGGCATATGAACTCCCGTTTCAAGTGTAATGAGTAAAATTTATATAGGGAAAGATGTCAGCTATAACCTTCTACTAGACATAGGTTTGGCCTAGGTTGTGTCAGGTCAAAGGACATGATGTTATGCAAATATTGTGGTTTTGGTAGTGTTTGTTGTCAGGACAGCAAATAAAATTAGCTGGAAGGTAGAGAGGCTCAGCCTCTTTGAATTATTGCTTGTTAGAGCCTTCACATCCTACATTCATGTCTCTTGTCTTGGCCTTGCTGTGACATGGTTCAAGTAGCACTGTCCTGGGTATGCTTCAAAGGTTAGCACAGGCCAGAAACACTTTCCAAAAAACAAAGCAACCCCTTTCTTTTGGAGAGTAAAATCCTTTAATGATATGGACATACGCCATTCTATTCCAGATGGCCTGTGTCACAGAGTGATTCCAAGCACATTTAATTTACCAGCACAGAAAAACTGCTAAGAATTTTTTTTAATGGATCTTGAAAATTTTGAGAAATGTAATACATTTCTGTGTAAAACACAGGGAAGAAAATAAACCCCAGAATCCAAAGAGAAAAAGCCACTGAAATGATATAAAGGCATCTACTAAATGAAATAACTGGTTGTCTGCTGATGCTTGTAAATCTGCTAAATCTGTAGTCTAGAAAAACAGCAGAATGGATAATTACCTTTACCGCTGCCAGCGGTAAAGGTAATCATCCAAGAAATGAGTTATTATCGTTCAGGTTTTTAAGATAAAATTAAATTCCAGTTTATGAAATGAAATTATTTTCTACATTTTTTCCCGCAAGTATTCACTTCTATATAAACATCTATCTTTACTAGCATAATCTAGTTTGAAAAAAAGGGTTCCTGTTTAAAATTTGACATATGTTACCTGGACATTTCTGCTAAGAACCTGGATCCAAGCCACTTTTCCATATCTTTATAAGCCTCTTCTGTTTTCTTTGTTAGCTCTTCAACACATGCTAAAGCCTTTTCTTTTATGAGATCTAGTCGAGATTTTGCAGCTACCTCTGTTTAAATAGAAATGTCATTCCTCAGTCATAAGCATCTAGTTTAACATGTAACCTGGTTTTAGGCAGTAAAATATTTATTTAATTTCTTGTATTCTTGAACAAATTATTTTTCAGCATCACCCCTATTGCACCACTTTTAAGAAAGTGTGTCTTCTTTAACCATCAGAATTCACAAGGTAACCAATATCTCAATAAAACTAATATTGAGGAGCAGAGGGTGTTTAAGTAGACAGTGACATTGAATCATAGAATCATAGAATGGTTTGTGTTGGAATAGACCCTAAAGATCATCGAGTTCCAACTTGCCTGCCATGGGCAGGGACAGCTTCCACTAGAGCATGTTGCTCAATGCCCCATCCAGCCTGGTCTTGAACACTTCCAGGGATGGGGCATCCACAACTTCTCTGGGCAACCTGTTCCAGTGTCTCACCACTCTCACAGTAAACAATTTCTTCTTAAGATCTGACCTAAATCTCCCCTGAACTCAATCAACACTAACCAGCAACAGAGCTAGAAGCTTAATGATGCAAAAGTGAGTACCCTGTTATGAATAAATTTTAAAGAAACAACATCTAAATCATTATGTACATTAATCACAATAAAGGTTAGCTCTTCTGTTTCTACCCTCCAGCCCTTTAAAATTTACCTCACTGGTTTTGCTCAAAGCTTCCACCATAAGACTGTTTTATACCCTAAAGCTCAGGTTGCATTAGAGAAGAGTTTGGTTAGTGAGTACTAAGAAAATAATTCACCTCTACCAAAATTATGCATAGAGTATTCATATGAAACTTTTAAAAACATTGAGAATTTTATGATTTTTGGTCTTCAGAATCGAAAGAACTGAGAAAAAAAATAATCAGTTTCTCCCAGAGTGGCTAATACTTAAAAAAACAGGAGACAAAAAATTCCAAAAATGGGAACAAGTCAGAAATGTCCAAAGCGAAACGGATGCCAACTCAATGAAAAAACAGCTAAGGTAGTGTATTGAGAGATAAATGGAACAGGCATTGAAAGACATTCAAAGCCTTACAAAAGGAGAGTAAGAAAAGAGTATTTTATTTGATGGCAAAGACGTAACAGTAAAGAATCTAAGCAACCAAAAAGTTGGTCACCTTTCTTTAATACAGTTTAAGGCTGCCTTATTTGTGACTTCTCTACATTTTCTTTGATCAAAGACTGCTATCAGTTTGTTGCAAAGTAAGGGTATGATTTTTCTTTGTCTCCCTGCATTTTCAGAAGAAGGTACTGCACAGTCCATTGGTAAAGTTGCTCTCTTAACAGTAGCAGAATAAAAGGCAAGGCACTTTGATGCAATAGAGAAACAGAATATGAAATCAACATTAAAAACTGTATAACCAAAAGCACAAGCATCCAGTTACCATATCTGCAAGTGAAACTACAATCCTCAAATGTACCAGCTATGTGCCTGCGCAATTATGAAATATAGCTCAACATATTTAGTCTTCTTTAGATTCTTATATTGGCTTTTTTGTTAAGATGAAAATGAAGAAATCTCAAGAAAACAAAACACATCAAGGAATCACTAAATCTTCATACTGTTAAGATCTTCAAAGTTACTACCATTCCTCTACTCATTATCCCAAAATCTTAGAATATTTATTCCTAAACTGCTTTTGGCTTAAACCATGTTGAATAGGGTAGGTATACAAGCATTTGGTCCAGTGTGGACCTAAAGAAACCTTATTCATTTACTGCTGTTTGCCCTCTACTTTCCATAACAAATGGAAAGTCAGCAAAAAGTTAGCCTGGCAAAAAGGTAACATACATGATGATGGGCTTGCCAAGTGTTGCCAAACAGAATCTCTAACAGCTAGGTTCGATCTTCTCTTTAATGAGAAAGAGGTCTTTTCTTCTAGTCTAAACCCATCTTCAAAAAAGAATTTCAACCTGTTTTCGATTTGGGACTTCTCTTTTTCAGACATCCACTTTTGGCTGCAGTTGGTCGTTATTGGGTAAGACAGACAAAGAGAAAGAACAACTCAACAATACATAGTTTTTTGGAAGAGTCTGTCTGGAAAGGAGTATGCAAGAATAAATAAAATCTGTGTCTTGCTGCTTGAATCCCATGTGTCTTCAGGAAGAGGAAATCAGAGAGAAGAGCATCAATGAACTATATAATTGCCAGCAAATTCTTTCCCAGATCAAAACATTTCAAATATTGAATTCAATTCAATTGAATACTGAAGAGGGGGCTAACTAACAATGTGAAACTTATTCTCTTATGATGAATACTTGCTTAGTCATGGAAAATGAAATGAAATGAAATGAAATGAAATGAAATGAAATGAAATGAAACAGAAGAGAACAAAAAGAAGAATGAAAAACACATTTCTATTTTAAATATATTTCCCACAAAATCATTGATGATTACCACCCTAAAAAACTTCCTGATCTCTCCAGACACTCCTTTCTCACCCCTTCTTTTTTTAACTTATCCATCCATTTTCCCTAGAGTTTCTACTTAGTTTCGACTATTAAAATACCCAAATTGGGAGTAACAACCACCCCCCAATATCAGTAACCAAATAGTAACATACCTTCATGTTTCAAGGCACTGAAATATTCTCGCTTTATTTTAAATGTCAGTTCTTGTTTCTTTACTTCTTCTGGGTCCATAGAAACTGGACTGGCTTCCCCAGTTACAGTAGGTGATCCTGGAGGAAAATAGAACTCTCTCAGTCTTTGGGTTTTGCTGATAAGTTTCTGTATCCATACGCAGGCACTCAGAAGACAGCACACTTATTAAAACGAAAAATGGCACTTTTCACCTTACTTGATGTGACTATTTAAGAGAATACAAAAGTGGTAACTCAGGTGTCTTATGTCAACATAACATACTTAGATTTCTTCAAATAGATTTACATCTGCAAGACATGCTAAGATTAACTCTGCATAAAATTACTCTAGCATATACAACTGTATTAAAATTAGTTAAACAATGTCAAAAAATGTATTTCTGAATAGAAAATCATGATTGAGTTGTGATCATGTGATCATGTGAATGTGTCTCTGCTGTGATCCTAGGTGGTCTAAATGTCCTCTTTGACCCTAAAATATACTAATTTATCCCAACCAGCACATAAATAAAACTCTCTTGAATAATAGCTGTTCCTTCTGGAGCAAATTCAAGTTTAACAAACTGTAGTAGAAATGCTATGTAAGTGAATATCATTGGTTATGATCAAAGCAGTAAAAAGAACAATAATGCTATTTTAAAAAAATCATACTCTGTCACAAAAAAAAGAGAGAGGTATGGTATTTCATGCCACTCTAAACCATTCTCTTAGCTGCTTTTGCAACTTGTTTTAACTTACATATCTACGAACAGACATTGTAAAGGTATATTGTCACGTTTTTAAAGATTGCATGAAATTCTACAGTCACAATACTTTGACTGTTACTCAGAAATATTAAAATATTTGTACATGCTTTGTCCTAGAAGAAGAGCTGATGTAGCTGTTACAGAAAAAAATGACATCTGCATGATATATATAAAAAAGCAAATGGTCAAATCCAGAAGTGATAAAATTATATATGATAAGTTGTATCACTCAGTTACTAGCCTTTAGCTGTGTCCTAGGGAATCCTTCTGTTAGAGGAGCTCAACAGGAGCTTCTGTTAGAGGAGCTGAATTTGGGATGAAATCAAAATTGATACTTCAGTTACAGAAACATCAGTTGATACTCCATCTCCTACCATGAAGAATGCACAGCTGAGCAATAATGCAGTTCTGTCACTTTATAGTTTCAGGTAAATCATCTAGTACCTGGTCTGAACGTAAATTTAGTTCCAAGAAGCAATCCACAAACCCCAACCTAGCTGCTTAGCATGCAACAGGTGATAGTTGCTGATTTTTTAATCACAAAGCTTTTCTGGAAATCTGAAAATCTGCTACTCTCTTGGCTAGATTCAGATGCTAAGCACACAGCTAAGGCTCCATGGGGCTCACAAATTAGGCATCCATGTGGCTAAGTATTTGCAGAGCTATACTGATTCACCATACTATGAGCAGAATCAACCATGGAGAGAGCACTGACTACAGTGCAAACAAAATGTCTGTCAAGGAAAAAAAGTCAGCTGCTTTATGCATTTCTCTCTTGGAAATGAAGTACCCACAGGACTTGAGCCCCTCTCTTGCTATGTAGAATGTCTTTACCAAAGATACAAATTTTAGGCTACTAGTCTTGCCTCCTGCTGTAGCTATGACATTTTCAGAAATATGTGGAAGTTACTTGAACCACTACCTGCTCGAGGAAGTATTTATGAAAAAAAAAAGTATAAACGGCATTGCATGCCAGGATTCCATTCAGCAGACTGCTTAAATTGCTAGGCTAAAAGAGATAAGGGGCTTTAGGTCTGTTTCCCTTTTGCAAATAAAATTTTGTATTCTCATCTGGGTTGGACAGATTTATTCTTGCCACGCCTATGCACGAGATCATAGAATCATAGAATGATTTAGGTTGGAAGGGACCTTAAAGATCATCTAGTTCCAACCTCCCTGCCATGGGTAGGGACACCTCCCACTAGAGCAGGTTACTCAAAGCCCCATCCAGCCTGGCCTTGAACACTTCCAGGGATGGGGCATCCACAACTTCTCTGGGGAACCTGTTCCAGTGTCTCACCACCCTCACAGCAAAGAGTTTCTTTCTAATATCTAAGGTAAAATCTACCCTCTTTCAGTTTAAAACTGTTAAACCTCATCTTATTGCTACACTCCCTGATAAAGAGTCCTTCCTATTTTTCCAGTACCATTAGGTACTGGAAGGGGTATAACATCTCCCTGGAGCCTTCTCTTCTCCAGGCTGAACAACCCTAACTCTCTCAGCCTGTCTTCATAGGAGAGGTGCTCCAGCCCTCTGAACATCTTTGTGGCCTCCACTGGACCCGCTCAAATAGATCTGTGTCCTTCTTAGGTTGGGGGCCCTAGAACTGAACAACAGTACTCGAGGTGGGGTCTCACCAGAGCAGAGTAGAGGGGTGGAACCACCTTTCTTGACCTGGCTGGCCATACTGCCAGGATACAGCCCGGTATACCCAGATCTGCCTCAATGGGAGTCTGCTCTTTTTTAGGACTACATATGACATTAGATTTTATGTTCTTCATTTACACAATTTTACAGTTATACATAAAAACGATGGACCTTGATAGATCCATGCTACTGTATGTCTGATAAATTAATTCCAAAATATCTTGGAGTACTGGATAATTTACCCATTCTATTCCAGTACTTTCATTCTAATATTTGAAATATTTTGACTTGTAAGTGGAAAGTAGGCAGAATTTAATGGAATTTTATTTAATTTGATAAACTAGTTCTAACCATTCAATTCCAAAAGAGCATTTAGAGAAAAATTAATGTTTGCTTTCTAGGTTCTACTTAGAATATTTACTCCTACATAATAATGCTGACAACACATATGATTAAATAAATGCAATTGCCATTCAAAAGCCTCTGCACTCTTTCATCACTACTAGATTTTCACATTGATATGTCACATTCGACATTTCAAAAGACAAATAAATCCAAATTAAATATCATGGCTTACTCTTTTCTGTATTGCAGATATATTTACATTTCAGCAATTTCAAGCACTGCTAAAATAAAGCTTGCATTTCAAATACCTTTTTTTTTAGCAGCTGGTTTGGGAGAAACCTTTTTGGCACCTTTCCCAGCACCTTTCAGTGTCTGTGAAGATCTCCGATCTTTCTCTTCTAGCCGTTTATGTTTGTTTTCTTCCTCCATTTCTTTAGACTCTATTTCAGCTCTTACCTTGACACCACACATAGTAAAGTACATAGTATCAACACTGTGCAACTACTGTTTTAAATATCCTATACTTGCTGAAAGTACTTGCTGAGACATGCACACATAAATAAAACAAAGAACATACTTCAACTAATTAAATTAGTTACATTTTGTTATTTATCAAAAATAAAAGTCTACAGCAATATGCAAGACAGAGAGATAGTAGTTTTAATTCCTGTAACACATTACCTGTGCTCTGGGAAAAAGTGAGAAATGTAAGAATTAACAGTACGTAAAGCAAGAGTACAGTTACACTGTAAGGGCACAGAAATGTACTTACTTTAAAATGATCAAAGAGAAAAGAAAAAGCAAACCTAAACCCCAACCATTTGAAAAGTCCACCTAATTCACTTTTAGCTATGTATAAAACAGAAGTTTTGAAGTTGTGAAAGGTTTGAGCAAACATTGCAGCACAGAATAAAACTTGTCCTTCTTCTAATGATTCTATTGAGGGATAAGGGGAGACTTTATCATGGAAGAAGTAGAAACATAGAGTTCACATTCGAAGTGTTTCTCCCAGTAATGGAATGAAAGGGTCAGTTATAAATACAGAGGTGCTGATAATTCACAGATTCCAACATTTTCCTCACAGAAACATATTCAATGGAAATATCAGTGGTGGAGCAAGAGGCATGAAATTGTGATGCCCAGTGTGAAGGCTGTGCGTTTAGGCTACCTACTGAATGGGAGGCTTTAACTGTGCAATCTAAAAATGTTTACATAAATAAAATATTCCTTACAATATCTGATACTGCTGTTACTGCTGTTTGCCATGTATCAGTAATAAGATTTTCATCTTTCCTAGAAGTGGCCACTCCATCTTCAGAATTTTCATCCTTAGCACTCTTCTGTGGAGTTCCCTTGCTCTTTGACTTGGTAATACTTATTTCTGGTGAAGACGCTTTCCAAGAAACTAGAGGAATCCTTAAAAATAAAATATAAGGCATAACTCACACCCTCTTCTATAAAAAGTGTTAATTTATAACTTCATTGGAGAATATGTTAAGAGAATGAGCATGCTATTTTCAAAAATTGCCACAGAAACAGAAAAGGGATGAACTTTCCTTATGACCAGAAGTGGTGAAATGTGTGGATGACAAGAAAACTGTCTAGTTTAATTACAGAAGCCAAGGAATGATACTAGATGGATAAAGCTATGTCAAATTACTGCGTGATCTGCCAATATATTCCTAATGGGCTAGAAGCACAGCACCCAGTTTCTAAATGAACTGTAAATATTTTTAAAAAGCAGGTGTCATTATTGATGGGATTTTTGATATTGTGAAACCCATTTAATTATGTTTTAAACTTGTTAATGTTCCATAATAATATTTAACTTATTTATGTAAGGATTGTGCTGGGAACAGTCAGCAACACGGAGGGAAGCAGGAAACATTTCTATAGCAGATTTCTTTCTAAGGCAGCTTTTACAATGTTTTGTAATTCAGGGGTGCATTACTGAAAATTATGTAGGTAAACCAGTAAAAAACCAGGGATAAATTAAAACTCTAAAATGATTCGAGATTAATCACTTGACTTCTTAATTAAAATTCTTATTTCTTTTTCATATATACACATATGTATTCCCACATAGACCCACAAAGCTATCAGTACATTGTGTTTACTGGTTGTATAATAATACATTTCTACCTTCTTGATTCTTTTTGATCTTCTTTCTGCTCTACGTTGATAATATCTAACAACGGGATTCTAGTAAAATTTTGACCATCTTCTGTTGGGATTTTTCCTTCCATTGCTCTGTAATAGTCATGAAGAAGTCTCTTTGTATCTTGGAAACGATCCACTTCGACCTCAAGAAGAAAGGACAGAAAGATTGCAACTCAAAACAAATTTCTGGTATATTTTAAAATATATGATAGCAGAAGCAACTCTAAGTCATAAGAGTTTGAGGGAGAGAAACAAACATAATAATTTTTTTGAAAATTTATAATGTATTCAATGCACACTTCTACTTGAATCTATGATGTCTTCACACTGGTATTTCTAAGAATTAATAAAAATCTTAGTTGTTAGAATAGGAAAAATTATTTACAATAAATAAAGTTTGATGCATTAAATTTAATTACGATATATATTTTCACATGTATGTATTTCTATAATAGTAAGTATACTAGTACCAAAAAATTATAGTGATCTTTCTGTGCAAAAGAAATAAAACACTTAGTAGCATAAAATAAAAAGGGTCAAGCGATGGAGAAAATTTTAATAGCCATACAGCTTTTCTGGACTAAAGAAATCAACAGACTTTACACCCCTAAGCGTCTTGAAGATCTTTTTGTGTGAGTCATCTTGGAAGAAATCAAGTAAGACTCAAAAAACATTTAACACCTGTCATGCTTTGATTTATTGATATAGTATGGTGTTAGTTTCTAACTGACAAAACAGTACTAAATATTCATGGGAAAATGCACAAAACCACATTCACAAAACAAAGGAGAAAACCTTTGTGGTGGAAGCCAGCACGTATCCATAAGTTAAGGAGAAAATATCTTCTAGTATAACAGCATGTACACAGAAAGGTGGAAAGAAATCTGATAAACGGTATTTATAAAAATCTACATGCTCATACAGTAACAGAGCCACCTGGGGAATATATGTAACTTCCCACAGAAAAACCCACAGAGAGCTCAAGACCAAAGAAGCCTATTTTTGGCTGCTTCTCAAACAAAGGCATAACATAAAGATACAGTTATTATATTTTTATTTCTGCAGTTTTAGCATTAATATTTCATTTCTTTGGGGGAGTATATATGAAGTAAATAAAAGAAGTCATCCTCTGGACTGCCATCATACATGCCCATGAAATTCTGCTAGAAGAAAATTAGGATTGCAAAGTTATACATGAATATAAAAGGAGAAAAATAAAATATTTTAGCTGAGCAATATTACTTTAATTTGGCTCCCTTATGAATATAATTTTAAAATACTCAATTCTAGAAAATACAGGTTTAATTAGTCATCCTGGCTCAGTTAGTCAGCAGTTATTTGATATTCAGACCTCTCTCTTTAGGCTGTGGCCTTAAGTCTTTATTTAGGGCACTATTTAGATTTTTTGACAACAGACCTAATAATTTCCTTATATTGCAACTGACTACTTCACACACTTTACTTAAATTACCATAGCACTCATATGAAATAAGAGAGTGGTTCCTTTGTTTAAAACAACATAGAGAACTAAGGGGCAGAAAATCTACCTTAAGATTCTTAGGCCTGATTTTTCAGTCAAATTAGCATAACATGGGATGTGTTTAAAGCATTGTTTTCATCATCATTTCTAAAGTTGTCAAAACTTTCAAAGGATGGTCACCCAGTTTACAGAAAAGCCTGTCTGGTTTAGTCTAGGCTAGTCTGTTACAGTCCAGTCCAGCCCTAAACAAAAATTATGCAGCTAAATGAGCAGTCACAGGGAAATCTTAATTTACTTCAGGACCTGAAGTAATTAATAGTCAGGCTGAATGAGAGGGAAGTCTTAATGGGGGGGATGGGAGAGCCAATTAATTGAAGATGGTCTCTTGAAAAGGTAAGGTATGTAAAAGCTGGGTCATATTTGAACAGATTTTCTCAAGAGCAACAAATGACATCACATTCTCAAAAACACTCCTTGCAAATTTTTTTATCAGTGTGTAGGTAAAATTTCAAGCTATGTTGGTGAAGTTACAACTGAAATAATTTTGTGATGTAGGAAATACAGCACAACCTTAGCAGCCAGTGGGTCTACAACAGGAGTGAGTTAGGTAATTTGTAAATTAATAGCATATGTCAATATGATCATAAAAGGATAAAGAGCTCTAACATTTCTGTAACAAAATTCAGATGATTCACTGGACTGATAAAATTCTAAAAAGTAGCACTGTACACTGTAGGTTGAATGATTTGGGGGTTGCACGATAACAATGGATCTTCCTTAACCTTTTCTGCCTGCCAAACAGTTAAATGTATGGAATGTCATCTACTTTTTCTCTCTATCTAGATAAATTCAGAAGAGGCATGAACATTTGTTTATATAATTCTTAATTCCTCACTTATTTGGAGCCAACTATATGAAATTCCTCTAAGGCCTACGGTCCCCCAAATCTAATTCACTGCCTCTTTCCACTGCAGACTCCGTAGTAGATCCATACCTGCATAAGTGAAAAGAAATGGTTCATTACAATTCCTCTGTGATCTTGTAACCAGCCATCGTTCATGATATTAGTACGTTCCTGCTCTGCTTCTTCCCTTCTGTTATCACAGATATCCCAGAGAAGATCTCTTAGGTCCTAAAAGACAAAATCAAATATGACAAATAACCATGAAAGAAAACTTATTATCCTTTTTCATATTTATTATTAAAAATCACATTTTTTGCCTGTTTGCATAGGGCATCTTTCCATTTGAGGCTTTTTCTATACTGATATAAAAGTCAAAGCCTGGTCATGTTCTTACAGAAAGCTGACAAAGCAGCTTTACAAATGTGCCAGAGAGAAGAATACAAAGATATGAGATAAACATGTAGGCTGCCTTTCTTTCCTCAGGCAGAACAGGTCTATCTAAGCTGGACAAAGATGTGAGAATATGAATAGCTAAGCTCCCAACTGCCCCGACAACTTTTCACTTGAATCATAGAATCATAGAATCATAGAATCATTGAGGTTGGAAGAGACCCTTGGGATCATCGAGTCCAACCATCTACCCTACTCTACAAAGTCCTCCCCTACACCATATCCCTCAGTACCGCATCTAAACGTCCCTTAAACACAGCCAGGGATGGTGACTCAACCCCCTCCCTGGGCAGCCTGTTCCAATGCCCGACCACTCTCTCTGTGAAGAATTCCTTCCTAATGTTCAATCTGAACCTACCCTTTTGGAGCTTGAAGCCGTTCCCTCTCGTTCTATTGTTAATTACCTGTGAGAAGAGACCAGCCCCAACCTCTCTACAGTGTCCTTTCAAGTAGTTGTAGAGAGTGATGAGGTCTCCCCTCAGCCTCCTCTTCCTCATACTGAACAGCCCCAGCTCCTTCAGCCGCTCTTCGTATGATTTGTCTTCTAGGCCCTTCACTAGTTTCGTTGCCCTCCTCTGCACTCGCTCCAGCACCTCGATATCTCTCTTGTATTGAGGTGCCCAAAACTGGACACAATACTCGAGGTGTGGCCTCACCAGTGC